TATGTCCCTTACGTCTCTAAAAGACATTTCAACCACATGCAGCTCAATTTCTAGACATTGTTTGACCTGCAAACGGTGCTTACAAGGTACAACGAGGGTTGTAAAATAAGTTTTCTTCAACACACTTTGCCAGAAGTGGCTTGACCTCTGTAGATAAAATGTGACAGGACCTCAGCTGTCATATGGCAAAATAACTTTCTACATAGCTCCCTGATCTGTCTCCCTCTCCCCAGCATGAAAAGATTGAATCCATTCAACCGAATTTCTTCTTGACCTATAACAACTAACCACTATAGCTCAGATTTTCACTACATGTAACAAAGACCTAAATCCCCTGTTGACAAATGTAGTAGACTGATCTCTCACTCTCTCTGTCAGTGCACCAGTAGTGTCATCTTGATTGACAGTGACTTGAGAGAGATCTCCCCAGTAGGCCTGTACAGTTCTGTTAAGAGAGTTTTAAAGCAGCAAAGGTAAATCCCACTGAGGGGAGGCAGAACGTATAACCAGATGTTTGCTCTGAGGGCTCTGTGGAAACGTTTAAGGAGAGAGGAGCAAACATGCCGACCTTTTGACAAAGATCATTAGCTAACATTTGCTATGTCACAAACTACCCTGCAATCCATAAAAAAACATATAATGAATGCAGAAAAGTGAATCCATCTGCTCAATATGTGCACAAATATATGCACTTATTGGCATGAAGAACACAGAAAAAGGTTTGGACTACCTATGTTTGAATGTAAAAAATCTATATATTTAAAGCACGAGTTTGAAGAATTTAGTGGCATCTAGCGGTGTGTTTGCAGATTGCAACTCCCTCGTTTCACCCTCCCCTTCCAAGACTGAAGGAGAATCTGCGCTGGTCACGAAACAAGCAAAAAAAGTGCTTTGTCTGTTCTGGGCTGTACTGTAGAAACATGGTGTCTCAACATAAATATTATATTCCATTTCTGCCAGTAGACCATCCTAAATGTTACACACTAGAGCTTTAATGTTCAAAAAGAATATTAGCTGATTTATCAAAATGTCTTCTTTTTTTTTTTTTTCTCCAACTATCAGTGTCAGCCTAAATGCAGCTTGATGTGCAGCAGGACCCACTGGAACCATAACATAAATTGCCATATCAAACTCAATTGGCAAGGGTAAATCTGCAATCAAACTGCATCAAAATGAATCATTTCAGAAATGCACAACACTGATTTGTGAATATCCAACATAAAGCTATATAGCTATATTCTGCCAACAAAGGCAGATATAACACTCACTACCAGTGTTTGTGAGTGTAAGCGCTCTTTCGTCACCCAAAATCCTCCTCCCTCAATTCATAACATTTGCATTTGCGTGCTACAGTCACTCCCTCATCTCATTACAACACAATTACCGAGCAATTAGAGTTTATTGAGGGTGAATTAGCTGACATGTAGAACAGACCTAATGTACTGGGAGTGTAAAGGGATATTACCCAACGCCAGTGAGAGAAGGAGGAGGAGGAGGAGGAGAAAACAGTGAAGATCGAAGGGTTTTTATTCTGAATGTGAGGCAGGACAAGTGAAAAATGTCCTGAAGAGGTTGAGACAGGACAGGAGGAGATGAGAGACTGAGTAAATGTCAAAAATGTCACAGTGATGGTGGATTATAACTCTCAATGACCTTGGGGAGCAAGACAAGATGTACTGAGTCAGTACATCTTGGCAGGAAGTCTATAAGGTCATGGTTTAGTTCTTTCATATGTTAATGTTTATCTGCATGTCTGAGGTTATGTAGCTAATCATTGCAGAAATGTGGTCCAATAAAAAAATTAAAAATTAAATTAAAAAAAATACAGTACAGTAAGTCTCGTTTGATCACTGAAACTGGGTCATTATTACCCTTTTCTAGTAAAGGCTGCATCTGTCAGTCAGTCTAATTAATATGATTACGCTTGTCACACAGTCCACAAACTGAGAGACTGTGACAAACAACGTGTATACTTGAGAACATTAAGACATTTCATAAAACCTTTTAGTTAGGAAAAGAATTCAAATATAATAAATACATGTTGCAAACATTGTAAATAAAGGTTGTGAGTCAAAACCTTCAGCATTTAATTTTTAACTTTTAAAATACATATTTATCATTTTATTCCCACCTCCTTGCTAATCACAAAAATCTAAACGATTTGCATAAAAGTCTTACTGTTAAAAGACTCAGAGGTGATTTGTCCTCCCACGATTACTGAATTTTGAATTTCTTCTTTAGTGTGGGTTTCATTTTGCGAACTCATCTGAGAGTGACAGTCCAGGAGGGCCTTGATCTGTTTGTCTTACTGTTCTTAACAAAGTAAACAAGCAAATCTGAAATGTTTGGTTGGATGAATGAACACTTTACGGAGGAAGTTGAATTTCTTGAATTTATTCCTTGAGCAGAGTTTCTTATGGTGTGAGTGCAAATTTCAGGCGATTTTTCTTTCCGGAAAGGATCAAATCTTGATTTAAAAAGTGAATATTTATTATATCGAAAATTATATCGAAAGTTACAGATAATCAACATAAAATACAGCTTAAAGTAGAAAGTTGATATCAATATGCAACCAAACCCGTGCTGTACTACGATGTACTTCTCATCTCATTCCACCTTTGTTTACCTCTGTCTCCTTCACTTTATCTATCCGTATCTCTCTCTCTATCTCACTCTGTCTTCTTCATCTACCTTTATCTCTTTCTCAGCCACCTTCTTTCTACTTTGATCTCTGTCTGTAAGTGTACCCCCATTTATCTCCATCCACTTCTTTTATCCACCTATGTGCCACATTTATCTGTCTGTACGTGACTTTGTGCGACTGTCAAACTATTTCTTAAGGTTTTGACCCCAACCTTGAGTGCGCATTCTCCTCCCAAGCACTCCCATTTATTCGTCTTTTCACAATTAAACTTTGATGCCGATTTGTTAGAATAAATATGGAGTGATGAATTATTTATGGTTGAATTTAAAAACACTGTATCCACACACACACACACACACACAGCTGAAAACACCCATGCACAGATCAATAATAAATCACACGGCAGCAAGAGGGAGGAAGAAGCGTTGAGCGAGGCATTTATAGTGCACAGGGATGGTAAATATAAAATATGGACATACACACAGGCACTCACAAACACATTTATTTCATTTGCAGTTTCATTCTTGCTGATGATTTATAAAGCCGACAGAGACAGACACCTGGATCACTTAACAAAAAGGAGAAAAGAGGAGAGACCGCTAATGTCTGAAGGACGCGGCCTTCTGTTTGTTAAACACAAAGGCAGTCTGGTTCGGCTTTAATCTGGCAATGAGCAAAGATACAGACTCTCTTCTCGTCCTCTGCTCCTCCCTTTTCTTCCTTTTTGTCAGTTTTTTCTCTCTTCTGCACAAAAAACACACACTTTTGGATGCAGTGAGTCCCTTGCAACACAGATTCAATGCTCATCATAATTCAATTATTAGTACAATTGAGTATGATTCACTTATAATAGATCACTCATCACAAAAACACAGAAGGGAGAGAAGGCAGAAAATAAATGCCTGGGTGTCTGCGTCTGGCAACTGGCAATTTTTTTCAAGAGTGGGAGAATGGCGTACTGTACATGGAGGCAGCTGCATCTCCAGCCCGTGAAGCCAATTTAGACACGCTTCTGATGGAAGCTTTTGCACTGATGTGATGTAAGACCGAATCTGGGAAATGGAGAGCGATGGCGGATCGCTCCATCATGATTCTGGACAACCTTCTTAAAACCAGTCACACCGAAAAGGGCATTTCAAGGCATGTTTTATTGCACCATTTAAAAGCTCTTTGGCAACAAAGGCAGCGTTTCCCCCTCTTTTACCCTGTCCTCTTTACTTCAGCCACTCTCCCTGTGACTCTCTCTGAATCCTGTCTGGCATGTAGTGTTTTTAAAATCAAATTCTTGCCCACGTATTCTCATCATGATTGCTCTTGTATGCAATTTGGCTCTGCCTCTCGTAGTCTCTCTCTCTTTTTCTCTCGAGCTAGGTCACCTTGAAAGTGTCTCTCACCCTCTCAGATCAGTCACTTTGCTGACGAGTATTTGAGCTTCTCTCAGTTTTCCGGTGGTGATGCAGTGAAAGAAAAAAGAAAGAAAGAAAGAGAGAGCCTAATTGACGTAATACGCCCAATCCTCTGAGACTTGCAGCATTTCTGGAGCACCGCACATCGCAGGTTTTTGACTGAAGTGACCACACGTACTGCCACACAGCCATGGACAGATTATGAGATGATGGGCCCGAGGGCACAGAGACTGAACATGGCTCTCTCCTACTTAACATCACTCTTCAAAGTCCCAAAGCCCATACTGCGTTATGTCAGTATGGAGGCATAAACATCAATTACTTACTACCGTCATGAAGTTTTCTTGTCATGATCAAGGCTTTTTACTCTCTAACAAGAAATTCATCCACTCATCCATTGTTTATATCCACTTATCCTGTGCAGGATCATAAAAATAACGTCAGAGGCCCCCGGATTAGGGTTCCCTTAGCACTTCAGGTTTTAACATAACACAATATTTGCAAAAGGAATAGTTCAACATTTTGGAAAATACAGCCGCCAGTTAGCTTGGCTTAGCACAAAGACTGGAAACCTGGGAAACACCTAGGCCAAGAAACAGTTACATGTGCTAAGCTAAGCTAACCGGGTGCTGGTTTTGGCCTTATAATCTTCTCATCTTACTCTCAGCCATGAAGTCAATAAGCACAGTTACCAAAATGTCTTTTAACAGTCACCAAGACAGATAAAAAGTACACAGATCTTGAATATGACCTAAATTTAAAGTATTCAGGAACTTGTATGAAGTGCAGAAAGCTTTTTATTCTGTAAGTTGTGAATTGATAGCCAATATTTATTGTTTAATTAATCAGGACTGTGTTAAGAAAAGCTGAGGTGTAAATGGGACAAGTGTAGGGGGAGGGTTGTTGCCATAATGTTGGCACATTTGGTGGGTGTGTGTGGCAGCACTGACCGTTTGCTTTATGTCTGGGATGCCAATGCGAAACACCATCATGGCAATGTGGGCGTCCTCAGATGGCACAGAGGAGGAGCTGCGTTCCTTCAGCCTCCTCTGCTGCTGCTGCTGTATGTGATTGGCTGGCTGTTGGTGTGTGGGTCCGGGGTTGGATGAATAGGGGTTTGTGGTGTGTCCAGGGTTCCCCGGTCGGGTCTGTCTGTCCCCGGTGGGTCGTCCGGCCACTTTACCCGACTGCCTGTGTCCCTCGCCCCTGCCCCCCCGCGACAGGCCCCCTCGCCTGACCTCCTCCACCATCTCCTCGTCATCATCTTCCTCTTCCCCCTCCAGTTCGCCATTCTCCTCCTCCTCCTGGTCCTCATCACGCTCCTCCTCTTCCATTTCCTCCTCCTCCTCTTCCTCCTCCTCTTCCTCGTCCTCTGCCCCTGGATAGAGATGTCGATTGTTTCCCAGCATCCTTTGTTGCTCCTCGTCGCTGGACAGGGGGCTGAACGGCATCGTCATGGCGACAGAGAGGGTGGCACCAGTGGCAACACCATCATTCCCAGAGAGACACTGCAACAGGAGGAGGGAAGAGAAGACATGTTCAGAACAGAGACAGAATAAAACTATGGAGGTGGTTGGTAAGAAGTAAGTCTCCTCCCTGGTTGCATCCAGGCCTCCATACCACATCACACAAACAAACTCTGGTCTCTATGGGAACAGACTGCTTCACTTACAGACATGCAGTACTTCTAACCCTCACCGCATGATGACATACTATTCACACTTCATGTATAAATGAACCCACTTGTGGTGTTAATTTTCAGCTTCTAGACTCTTGCCAGACATCCTGCCTGTGCTGTTATAGGCATAGATTTGCTGAAGAGTCTGAAGTCTGAAACGTATCACTATTTCACTACGGCGGGTGGTATTGTACTAAATTGGAATATATACGGAGATACTAGAAGGCACTACTACACAGAATAGTATGTGAGTTAGCACTGTTTGCAACTAGCATTACTGAGGTTCTATTAAGAACATAACATTGAGAATAAAACTTTAGAAGAGAGTTTTCCTCTGCAGATATAAAAGACATTAACATTTTGCTTGCTTTGTAGCTCAGAGACCCAAATTTAATGCTATCACCTAGTTTCTCTGTCCATCTGTCTATATGTACCTCCATAACTTGGGGCAGGTTGTCAGGAATTTGTCCCTAGAAGATAAATCATTGTGTTTTGGTGACCTCTTGACCTTTAGCTTAGCGCACCCATCAGGGACACTTTTACACAAGAAATATCAAAACATATTAGGCAAGGATTGCCCTGACCTTTGATGAGCATATCAGAAAATTAACTCACTCATTTTAAAAGCTAATTAAAAAATAATTACATTTGCCTTGTAAATTTACAACATTTGATTTTGCATTACTTGTAAAGATAGAAAAACTGGTGCATTGTTTGTTACGTCTGGCACTTTCACACTGTTGGTTGTAATCAACAAGGACCTTCAAATTGGGAGCTGATATTCAATCAGTATCCTTAAAAAATTAGTTAAATAATTGTATAATTGAAATACCCATTATAAAATTATTTTGTGATTGCAGTTACTTAAGGCAAAATGAAATTAAAAGGCAGTTTTGACTTATTCAGTTCCCTGAAGCTGTGTGAAAAGAAACTCCTCCTCAGTAAATTAATTTGTCTAACTCTACACAGCAGACTATTTATCACTCTGCTATATAGACACTCATAATGGACAACAGCTCTTCATGTGATAAACTATACACTGTTTTGGTCTCGCTGTGACCCCTGAGAGAGCCGAGAAGCCACTTCAGAGCATTAGTGATGCAGCGCTATGTTCAAGTACAAGCTGAGCAAGATAACAGATCTGTCCCTGGTGGCTCCTGCTGGCTCTGCGTGCTGTTTCAGGATTTTCAGCACCACTACATTCTGGACAGCTCCACACACAACCAAACAGCAGAATAACAAACGGCGAGAGAGTTGGAGCTCGGATTCACAGCAGAGGACTAACCAATCAGCAGAGCGAGCTGTAGAAACATAACGTTTAGTTAAGAGAGACAGAATTAAGCTTAAGGTATTCCTACTTTACTTACCAAATAGTTCTACTCTATATTGTCTTAAATGTATTGAGCCAAGAATATTATACTTTTTCCTTTTACAATTATGTGACAACTAATTGAATTTGAACACGAATTGCCTCAGTGATTTGAACACTATTCAAAAACATGCACATGCAACTGCACAAAAAGGAATTTTAAAAGACAGTTTCTCATCTGAACATTCATCCATTCATGTGGGAAAACAACTATCAATCAAGGTGCTGTTTGTTTTCATTTTACTTTGACTGAATCAAGCGTACAGAATAATGAGGCGACTTTAAATTGTAAATGGTGTGTGTGTGTGTGTGTGTGTGTGTGTGTGTGGTGAAGCAGCTGAGAGAAATGGGGGAATCAGAGTCATGCTGTGATGGGAAAAGAAGTGTTTGGCATATAATGTCAAGGCTTTCCTTGTGAGACATAAAAACTACCAGCTGTCCAGTTGGACAAGAAGCAGGAAGGGAGAATAAAAACTGTACAGAGAGAGGGTGGACAACAGGACCTATCACCCGTATACGGCGAAGAATTTTCATTTCAACATGTCAGTTAGGCTGGTATTGAGTTTTTTTTTTAATCTTATTCTTCTTGAAAAATAAAGGCATGGCAGTAAGGGGAGATTATTACAATCACATTACATCTTTAATGCAACCTGTTCCAAGAATGTTTTTGAATCAAGTATCATTTATTTGACTCCATTTGGAGGCAATACCTAAAATAAATAAAAACCACTGTACAGAAAATTGGAATTCTTGCCACAATCCTTCACTTAATCTAACAAAAAAACACAATTTTAAACCTGAATGTGGAGCTAAACTGCTTGTTAAACTTGTTTTGGAGAATACATGTCATTCTCTCGCCTTTGATTTCTTCCTCACTTTTCACACAAACACACTTAGTGCTGGACTGCTTGTGACAAACACTGACTCTCTCTCTGGCAGCGTTTTTTGCCTCCAACTTTTGAAAGCCTATTAGCAAGAAAACTTCTGTTCGCAGTCGTGAAGAAAGACAGAGATGGCAGACGAGTGTGCAGCAAACTGTAGAAGTTAAACAGACATGACATCCAGATTGAATCACCCACTTACAAGAACCTCAGAGGACACCGACTTGTAACACTTGACAACCAAGGACAAATTATGAATTAATCATAATTATTACTTTGTATTATATCATTATTCATGATACACTAACCGGTATGTGGCATTTTAAATATTTATCTGCCTACTTTGTGCTAAAATTCTCATGTCAACAGCAGTAAATGGTAAATGCAGCCATAGGACAGGTAGAGAAAATAATGCAGTATGTCAACTTCCATAAAATCATTGTAATTAATTACAGCACCTAAGTAAATGTAAACATAAATGAGTATTAACTGGGCTGGCTCTTATTCTAAAGTTGCTACAGCTATATAAATTGCATTTTTAAAGCTTGGGGAAAAGGTTGAAAAGCCTCCATTAAATGTAAATGAAAACTAATGAGGCCTCTTATACAAAGCTGTTTCTGACTATTTAAAAGAGTGCTGGGGGAATGAAAGAAAAATGACAAAATTAAAGCAAGCTTGTGAGACTAAACAGAGAGAGTGATGACAGGGGAGGACAAGAGGGCTGGAAACCAAATTGTTGGAGGGAATTGATGAACGAAAGAGAAATGGACAAAGAGAAAAAGAATGAGTGAGAAAGTAGGTTGGTACAGTCCAGGGGAGCGGTACCTAAAGAAGATATGACAATAAATGGAAGTGAACAATCCATATTTTGCATTGTGCTGAGTAATCAAAGATAGGGGAAGCTAGAGAGGAAGGAGAGGGAAGAGGACAAAGGGGGGAGCAGTAATGTAAGAGATGTGTGATTAGAGAGAGAGGGAGAGAGAGAGAGAGATGACAACAGCAACAGAGATAAAAAGGAGGTGAAAAAAAGGTAGGTAATAAAATGATGTGGAATCTGAGGAGGCACATATAACAAGAATAAAAGCTGAATGTTAGTACATCTGAACTTAACGTGTTAGCATGGTATCTTTTGCTAATTAGAAGTAATCACATTACAGCTAAGACTGATGGGAATCTCATTAGTTTTGCAGTTAAAAATAATAATAAAAAAATGACCTGACACTAGAGAGGGAAGATTACACACAGTTAGTACAGGTCATCCTGACAACAATAGTTATCAAGAAATTTACCTCTGAAACACAAACGTCAACCTTATGGCAGCACTAAAGGAAACATAAGAGAATGGCCAAAGTCAATAAAATTCATGAATGTCTGTACATTTGTAGGTGATCCGGTCATTAGGATGAATCCTCTGAAGAAATTAAATACCTGTATCATATTTTATAGCAATCCATAAAGATCTTTCTCTCTAAACCACAAACTAGAACCACATGATGGCATAAGGGGAAAAGTCAGAGGATGACCAAAGTCAGTAGGATTTGACTTCTGGGGACCATGAATATCCTTATGAAATTTAATGTCAATCCATCAAATAATTGCCAAGATATTTCAGTCACTGACTGACTGAACTGAAAATGGTGGATGGACAACAGAGTGATCCATAGAGCCATGTTAGCATCAAATATGAAGGGGTTAACTAAGGAGAGAGAGGAGCACATTGCAAAAAAATAAAAATAGAAAAGGTGCCAGAGAGACAAGAAAATGACACACATGTTGCAGGAGAGAGAGAGCAAGAGTGCGAGAAAGAAGAGGGAAGATAGAAACGAAAAAACGCTGCAGAGACATTGTGATGGAACCAGGAAACAAAAGAACAGTGAAGGAGAGCAGCAAGGAAGGGAGCTGAATGTGAGAGGTGGCTGTGAAATAAAAGGCGTGAACTCACAGGGCCGGATGGTAGAGAGCAGAGAGGAGCAGAAGGCAGACAGGATGAAGATGGGGTCGGACCACGATACCACCACCAACATTTTGTGGTTGAAGTTGCCAAAAGCCAGAGCTAGTATTGATATTCCTTGTATTTGAATTTGGCCTTTTTCCACATTTTACATGCCAAAAAATTCAAAGGAGTCCTCTCTTTGTAGAATTTCATTCTTGTCGTGTTGGAAAAGGCTCTGAAACAGCTTTTAGACCCCCGCAGGATGCAAAAACGCACCACTGAAAGCCATAATGAATGTTATTTTATAAAATGAGGAGCTCCCTGAAGCTGGCAGAGGTGGGTAGGTTTCACTGCAGGTTTTACAGACTGACACGTTGAAGCTGTTGAGTAAAATCCACCCACACCACACTGTCATCAGCCTTCTGAAAGTGGCTGCCGTGACAGACCTGTTTGTCACGCATTCTTCATTATTTTTTTTCAAGGTTGATATTAGCCAAATATTGGTTGATCCTGAGGGACGGAGCAGAGAAAATGAACGTGGAGTTAAAAGGCTGAATCCAAACTTTTGAGAGAATCACTCATCGTCAATTAAGCTG